CAGGTTAATTTCTACACTCCCTCATTGGGTTCATCTGACCAAACCTTCTTTGTTTCTGGTATGAGGTATTCAGCCTCAACCATAACAAATGTGGGATCATCACAAATATGCTGTAAAATCTATTTTTTTGCAGAAATGATAAGTGTAGGATGCAACACAAGGACAAGTGATGTGCAGAGCAAACCTATGCATATTACTCACTCTCTGTTGCTCCCTAGTAAGTGTACTTAAGTTTATATCTGCAGTGTATCGTTAGCTGAATACAGCTTGTTATATATGTTTCCTTTTTATTTTGACACTGCCTGTCTATTGATTCTAACCTCTGCCTGCTCTTACTCATAAAAGCCTAATTACTCTGCCTCTCATGGTGTGAATATGTAGATGGGATTGGAGTGCAAGCCTGCTTATATTCAAAATCTCACTCTTAACTAATTTAGGTCAAAACATTCAGGTGGTGCCTGGGAAAACTGGTACCAAGGATGAGAACTTGATAAATATTCCAGGCCTCACATCTCTTTCTTTCAAAAGGGAGCATGTTGAATTTTGACAGTATCAGAAGAAATCAGCCACATGGCCTGACCATAGACCAGAAGGGGCTGACCCCTAGTTCTGGGACCTGATCAGACCCATCAAGAACGTTTTGCTGCAAGATCATCTGATGAGCAGAGAGGGAGCAATAACAATCTCCTCAGTTTATCATCATCATCACCACTGAGAACATGTAATACAGTTGCACTATAAAATCATAACAGCAAACCAGTATACCAAATTACAATCTTGCTTCACTGAATATCAGATGGTATTTAAATACCCCTGCTATAAACTGGAGAGATATGGGAATATTATTCCCTGTGGATTTATTCAAAGAAGAGAAACCAATCTGCATCAAAATTATCAAATGGATCATCTTCTCAGACCACCCGTCTGTGTCTGGAGGTTGCTATGTCTGGCTCTATGACAGCCCCTAATTTAACCCTCCGTTGATACATTTGGCTGTAGCAATTGGGCCAATATACCCCAAGAATGCCATATAAATTAAATATTAGCATGACACCATTTGCAAGTTTTTAAAAACCATGCTCTCCTTTTCCAGTAAAACAATGTAGTTGCTCATTGTTTGTTTTGTCATTCTTCTGCCCCAGCCTTCCTTCTGCAAGGGAGCTCAGGGCAGCTTACAATCAAAGCAATAAGTCACTAGCGTCAGCAATAACCCCACAATTAAAGTGCATACATGTACAAAAATGTTGTGCGGGGTCTACAGTTTTTAAAAGCACGAGACAATATATGGTGTCTTTAATATACACAGGTGAGAACCAGATTGCTGTCTAGAATGGTATTTCTGTGTGATTGATTGATGGCAATCTTCAAGGTCTCCTGGTGTTTTTGCGGCACATTTTTGGAAGAGCAGAAGGAGTGATGAGTGATGGTAGTCTGGTGGTGGAGTGGGATATATTGAAGTGATTGGGAGGATGGAGTGTTGGTAGATGTGTGTGAAGTCCAGGAGTAGATTGAGATGAGTGATGTTGGATAGGCAATGGCTACAGTATGATTTGTGTAGATGTAAGACAGAATTTGCGTGAGGTGTGTATTTGCTAGCAGGCTGGGTGTTGCATACTATGAGTCAGGATATGCACTGGCAAAAAGAAGAGTGAAGAGGGTATGAGTATTAAGAAGTTTTAAGAATGTGCTACTATGATTTTGTTCTGGATGGGATTTTATTGTTTTAGTTTTTCAGTCTCTCTCTCTCTTTCAAATATACATTTCACATTAGTTATTCTTGTAAACAGCTGGGAGGCTGCTTTTGTATTTTATCTATATAAATATATAAAAGTTATGTAAGAAAAATAGTGCAATTATCATAAATTGCTATTTATTAGCAATAGCTAATCTCACAAAACTTCCAGCAATATCACAAGTTACCAGTACCATCGCCATATTTCACAACTGCAACTCTAGACACTGATCTGTTAGGCAGGAACATCTTCGTTGTAGTCTTTTCACTGCAAGTTGTTGAGTATGCAAATAATATTGGCATTTAAGCAAGCAACCTTTTAAAAAAAAAAAAAAAACCACCACTGACCTCAGTTTCATTATGTGTTTGGAAGTGTATCTTTTACCTCACCTGTCTGTGGTGGGTTAAATTCCCACAAGACCATCTTTCTGAATATCTACATAAAGCACATTAAGAACGCCAAATTTTCAGAATAGACAATAAGTTACGACTCCTATGCCGACAGAAATTTGACTTATATTGGATGCCTGGGGCCTTGTCAGAAACATTATCCTGTTGGTGCAGAATATTTTGTAGATAGGTTCAATATATTTTGAGCCCAAACTATTAAAGTGTCCTAAAAGAAAAGGGAAAGTATTTCAGCTATATCCTTGACTATTACAATCCCATCTTACTTCTTGGCTATCTTAGCACCTACAAATGCTCTCTATATTAAAGTTACTGCTTCAGGTAGTCTTCTGTTGACTATCCTCACTAAGAAGACTTTAAATTGTTCCATTTTTCAAAGTGGGTTAAATGTGGTGTCTATAAAGTTCAGGACATTCGCTCCCCTTACATCTCTTGGCCTCATTCTCTCCGTAGCTGATAGGGTACCAAGGAAAAATGGCCTTGTGAGAGAGCAAACAGTCATTTTCTTGATACATTTGTTCAACTTCCTCCTCCTTTCACCCCAAAGCACACATATCTTGGAGGTTATGTTAGAGAAATTTGAAGGTTTCTGCCTGACGAAACACTAACAGAGTGAAAGTAATGATCTCTTCCCTGATCTAAAAATGTCACCGCTTCATTGCATGATACTAAAATTGATTATGGTTGTTTGTCCAAATGAGTATGCAACACATAAAGGAGAGAGGCACTGGGGTGTTTATTGTGGCCTTGACATCTGAGGGTACTTAGCACTACTTATAGGCTGTAAGCTAGGCTAAGATGTGTTAATGGAACAGTGTTGCCAGGCAGCCTCATCATCGTTAATACAATTTATAAGACATATGCATGGCTTCCTTCCTCTTTATTTCTAATTTTTAGAAACATGAATTCTTAGTACAAATGAATAAGCAGGAAAAGGCAAATAAACTCAATTTTACTAAGTCATTAGAGAGTCTGAGGTTTCAAAGACAAACCGGCTATGAAAACACATTATAGCTGCTGCAACTTAAGGGGGGGGATAGGCTACAACATTTCCTCCAACCACAGTGGGGAAAGCTGTAACAATTATGAAAAAGCCCTTTAAACTAATAAATGGATTTACCATAAGCTGTCATATCTTCTTGGCTGCTATATTAATTTTTCTCTTTACTGCGGTCACTAACATCACCAATAACATCGTTTCAGCATTCTTATGCAACAAGCTAAGTGATATTACATGCAGCCCAATATTTCACTTTAATAACCATTTATTTTTGAGAGATCAGGCTCTCAAAACTCCGCTGAAGTAAGCTGTCTCTTGTGAAATACTCTTCTAAGTGTGATGCATTATTCTGTTTGGCCTTCTGTGCAGAGATTTGAATAATGTAACTACCTCCAGTAACAAAAATGACTCTGTGCCCAAAAGATCCTTTTCAAAAAATAATTTATTCTGCTGAATCCCGCCCTTGATTTTTAATGAAAATTGTGTTTAAGATTTAAATCATCTTGGCTTTTTTGTTGTCTCAGTAAAGCTGGAGCATAGACAAGACATATAATGCATTGAATTACATTGGCTGCCTATTATCTTCTTTTTAAATGTATTTTTAATAAAGATTTCCTTGGTTTACAAAAGTATGTACAATGTCTCTCTTCTTCTTTTTTCCAGGTAACATTTTTTACAAATCAGTTTCATTTGTTGAGACATTAGGAAGAAAAGGGGGAAAGAGGTAGAGGGGGGAAAGGTGAGCGGGGGTGGTACACAGCCCAACAAGACAATGACAAAAATCCATACATACAAATCAATATGGCTAACCTAATCCAAAACACCCACCCATCCCACTCACACATGAAAACAAAGATCACCACAGCCAATCACAAACAACCACACCCTAGGCTGCCTATTATCTTCTGACTTGAATTCAAGATGCTAGTGAATACCTTTTCAACCTAAACAGATTGGGAGCCAAATATCTGGAAGACTGCCTCTTCCAGGCAGTCTTTAAGGCCTGCCCATGCCTTAAATGTTTTGGATAAAACAGTCCATCATGCCCCACTGTTAGGGAAAGCTTCCTAGATGATGACCCAGGGTATAATATTTTTGGTGGTGGCACCTAGCTTGTGGAATGCCCTGCCTTTACAATGGCAGTGGCCAATGGTGTTATTACTTCAATGCCAAGTTAAAAGTTATTTGTTTTCCCACGCATCTTAGTTGTTCCACACTGAGTGGACTGTTGTTGTTGTCTGTTTGTTTTTGATGTGCTCAATTGTTATTTCATTGTTGTTGGTTATCTCTGTAGGTTATTTATTTTATGCTGTACCCTGTACTGGACACATATTATGAAGGGCAGGCTAGAAATATTTTTTTAAAAAATAAATAAAATTCTTTTTAATTTGGAGGGGAAGGAAAAGATGGTTAAGAAGTAATATGATTGATGTTTATAAACTTATCGACTCAATGAATTTATTGGCAGTAGAGTCAGGTTACAGAAACAAAGTAAAAAAACTAAAAAGTAAAGGACCTCTGGATGTTTAAGTCCAGTCAAACCTGATTATGGGGTGCGGCGCTCATCTCGCTTCAGGCCAAGGGAGCCACAGACAGCTTCCCTGGTCCTGTGGCCAGCATGACTAAACTGCTTCTGACACAACAAAGTACACTTTGCACAGTTAATTTTTGGATAGCACTGCCGTTAGATTGCAGTAGCAGCCACAGGTTTGGATGGTTTTCAAGAGGGATGGAACACATTTATGGCAGATAATTCTCTCAACGGCTATCAAGCATAATGGCTAAATTGAACCTCCATGTTCAGTGGTAGGGCAGCTCTACATATCAACTATCAGAAAGAAAAACATGTGTGATACACATACACACACACACATTGTATATGTGTGTGTGTGTGTATACACACACACACACACACACACACACACACACATATATATACTCTGTGTGTGTGTGTATATCCATGTGGAATAAACCCCCATTTAAATATGGAAAAAGCATGTACTATTCCCACCTGCTCATGCATTTCGCACTCTTCAATGTCTCTATCTTTTGAAATTGCATGTAGAGAGATGAAACATGGGTGTAATGCAATTAGGCTTCCATATGAAGGTAACACAATAATTCACTGTCACCCAGGGAACCATCAGATAAGTAAGATCCAGTCTATCAGACGGATAACATTGGCATCACATCCAGAATAATTGAATATGGCTGCAAAGTGACAGCTCAAACCAGATGTAATTAGGGCTCCCACAGGCTAGGGCTTGGTGTCTCCTTCCCTATTACTCTGTGCTTTGTTAGCTTTCTTATAAATACTGCATAACATAAGCCGGCCCTCTTATCCTTCGCCCTGGACTCTGTTTGCAAGTTTTGCCACAAATGGTAGTTCTGGAATTATTTTGTTTGTGATTTTACAGAAAATCCCTGCAGAAAGCTGTGGCCTAAAGGCAGGAACTAATAACCACACTGTTTGTTAAAAAGCACCCTACCCAATCCCTCCTACATGGGAAATGAAGCATTTCTATTTTAAGGCGTATTTTCAGTGTTGTCAATGTAGCTTCTGTTAAGTTCAGACTTTTGGGGAAGTCAAATGGAGAGATTTTGTGAGGAAACATCACTCTTTTTTTCTAGCCTCGAGGAACAGCACCTTCCATATTGCGTGGGTCTGCCTGAATTTTGTATTGATTTTGTTCTGCCTATTGATCACCAAGAGAGCCCGTTAACTCATTATAACCACATTTTTCATACTGTTGTGACAGATATTTCTACATTACCTTACATAGTTGTAAAAGTAGGCTTTATATAACAAATTGCTTTGCTAATTTTAATGCTGACTTACCTGACCTTGGTAGGTTTAAAGCAAGATTCTTAACCTTGCATTAAGACTGGATTAGATTTTTATAATGCAATATTACATATTAAAAGCTATTACTATATACCATGCTCTTTGGAAAGTGGTTGAAAAGGGGTGTGTGCATTTTTTAAAAAGTTACTCTTTGAGGAAGGAGATTGTGGGGCTATCATTTGTCACCATAGCTTGTTATGTTTTCCTCTTGCTTTTCCTCCAAGGAGCATACCTGATTATCTACCCTCTCTTCCCCATCACATACTCACAACAACCTTGCAAAGTAGGCTGAGAGACTGGTCCAAGGTCACCCAGGAAGCTCTCTGTTTGAGTGGAATTCTGAGCCCAGGTCTTTGCAGGTCTGACACTTTCATTCTTTTAAGAACCTAATACTGGGAGCATTCAAAAGACACTCTGTAAAAGAATAGGTTATAGATGGTGAAGATTTGAAAGACAATAAACACATAGCAGTGGGGAGGCTGGCGCATGAGCTCTCTGAAATAATTCAAAACCAAGAGAAATTTAGGCTTCTCTTATCCCATAAATGGTACTGTGCGAGAATTCTTAAGCTTTTTCCTCTGCGACCAATATCTTGGAACCTTCAGTTTTCTATAAGTGAGCCACAAATCTAAACATTCTGTTTGAAACATTGTCTTGTGTGTTGAAAAAGTCATATTCTATAATTCATAAAGTTTCTGCAGGCATGAAAACTTCTAGGTTCACATTAATATATGAAACCGCTGCGGACAGGCCACTGGTCTACATAGCTCAATACTGTCCATTTTGATTTGCTTTTCGAGGATTTCTCACTAATGGCATCAAACTCTAAAGCAAAAAGAGATTGGAACCTTAAACCTGGAGAGGACTGCAAAGATAATTAATATCTGCATTAGGAGAGGGGGGAAAGAGCCTGTCACTCAAAGCTTGGGCTAGAAACTATCAGTACAGATCCGGAAACCAATCTTCACCACCTAAATCCCCAAATCTCCACTCTCTTTGTGTAAGGGAGCCTGAGGAGGATGCTAAAGCAGAACATCTTCCTTCATTTCCATGTCACAGATACATGATCAAATAATATTAGTAATGGCATTTGTAGCACTTGTTTCTGTTTTGTAAGAAATAGTTGTTGTTTTTCTTTATTTATGTCAATATTACTTTTGATTTTTCTGAGCAAATCCCATGATTTGCAATTCATTTCATTAACTTCCGTTAACTCTGTGTGGTTACCCCACAGACAGTTAACATTGTTGTTATAATTACCTTTTAAAGTAGCTGATTATATAATATTGCATTAGCTACAGCCCTTCCCCAAAGGTTTGAGATTAAAATTCATTAATACCCTCATTTATTTTTACTGTTCTAGAATCATCTAAACATTATCTTTTAAGAGGCATATGTCACTGTTATATCACAGGCAATACTAGATGTCCTTTAGCCTGTGCCCCCAAAATGATGCTTCAGTGTGAGTTTCCTTCAGTTTTTAACAGACTTAGCACTAAATTTCAGCTATTTTTCTGATGCAAACCACATGCCAGTGGAAGAAGAGTTTATCAGCTACCCTAGCTATTTTTCTTTGAGCAATATCTGCCAAGTATGCACTGAAGTTAGGCCCGCAAAATGGAAGCTACATCATAATGCCCAAGAGAGGAGCCTAACAAAACTTGGAAAAACAAAACTTTAGATTTCATTATATCCATCGGGCTTGAAAGTTCACCTTAGATTTACTGGTATCCTGTGGAGACCTTTTAAATGCAGTAAAACGTCTGCCCCAGGTAAAAATTGCCAGCACTTTAGAACAAAGGTTTTGTAAGTGGCGGTTTATAATGCATGTAGGATTTGAAAAGCACATATTTTTTTTCTCTTGCCTTGAAGATAAGACTTATTAAGATGGCATGCCTCCTTGGAGGAAACAACGTTTTTTCCTTCCTCTGTTTTGCAAGATAACTTGCCCCGGTCCTGTTCCAGTCATGCACAGCTATGCGTGTCTAGTGCCAGAATGTCTGCTTTGGTGCAAATTTAGATATGCATCATGCTGTCATGTTTAAAGCATGTTGACACTGCTTACTTGAATGCTTCAAAGGGCTTGACAAAAACACGCTTCTCAAAATTATGGGAGCAGCCACCATGTGAAAGGTAGAAACATCCAGTAACTGATGTTTCAACTTTAACTACTGTAATAGTTCAACCTTAACCAATTTCACTCAGGACTTCAATCCTGGCAACACCCATGGGTCTTACTCACAAATAGATTCATAAAATTGTGGCCTGCATGATGAAAAGTCATCATAGGCATGCATGCACGATGACTAAAATAAGTAAACTGGCCTTAGAAAGTGATTTGCAGCATCACCTGGGAGAAATAACATGACACAGAGGCTTTCCTGGGTTGAACAAAGCCACAGCATTATTGGTTACCATGAGCTTTACCTTTAAGGTTTGGCTTGGCATCATGCAGCCCGTCTTCTGAATACCCCCTGCTACCCCGCCAGTGTGCTGGGGTGGGGGACAACCATAGGGGGTTGCCTGAGGTCAGAATCCCACCTTGGCATAGATCAAGGCTGGTAGACCCTTAGGCCACCCAGGAGCGCCTCCACCCAATTTATCCCCAGAGCTGGGGTCTGCAGTCCATACAGGGATCCCCATCCCCTGTCTTCCACCACCTTCAGCTCAATTCCTACCAAAACCTGTGACAAAGAAGATTGTGAAAATGAAAGAAAACTTTTTGCGATTAGGAAGGCAACCCCCCCCCCCCAGGACCAGGCCTATGGGTAAAATTCCTTCCTAGCCTTGAATAAACAGTGACTGATAATCATCCATAGGACGGCAGTAAACTCAGAGCATAAGCGAGGAAAGGCCTAGAACGGCAAAATTGGTCACTCAACGTAATTTAGAAGAGCGTGGATGAAGTGGTGGTGGGAGTCTGGGGACAGGCCTCCTTTTATAAACCACAAGTAGCTTAGAGGAAGGCCAGTTTTCCTTCTGGCCCACACCTCCCCAGGAGCCAAGTTTCCTGGGGAAACTGGCATGCTACTGCCCATACTGACATGTTTACTCCAAGATGGCGCATCCCTCCATCCTCCAGCCTCAGCACCACAGGGGCTGCAAAAGGAGGGTCCCAGTTAATAACCATAATAAATACTTTAACACACAGTAGCTTCCACGAAAACTTACTCTTCAATCTATGCAAGACTAGACAACTGAATCTTACTATGAACCTTGGCCATCCTCTTCCATTGAAATAGTAGAACTATGTTTGTTCCAGGTTGAAATTAATAGGATTTAAATAAGATTAACTCCATGCTACTTATTCCTGTGACATTCTTATGGCATTCAAGCATGCGAGTTAGGCAATGATAAAGGTTGTTTATGCATGCAAAATATACAGGACGGTGCAGGTGGTGTCCTTTGCACCTTGCAAACTTCTTGTGTGTTTTATCATCCTTACACCCCAAAATGGAAATACTATTTTTGCTACCATATTAGAATGAGCTTCTAGCATCAAGTGACTCACAGACATAGGACAGACATACTAGGCCATGTAGCTTCATCATCTTGTCACAAAAAGACATTCACCTAAAACAATACTCTAGAGAACAATATGAGTGATGATGAGATGTCAGCATCTACCCTTGGGACAACCTTCTCTCTCACACACACAGAGGAAGTTTTCAAAATTATCAGTCTCAACTTCTCCTTTAACATCATAAAACTTATGCCATTCCTTTTTCTGTCCTCTGTCCCCTCCCAGTGGTGGTTACAACCAGTCTGAGAGCTACACTAGGAGAAAAACAAATTTAAAAGTGGGGAGCCAGGTGAGGGCACATAGCCAAGTAAAGGGCTCATGCACATATATTGAATATGGCATTTCTAGCTGTCTACTATATTCTGTTCACATTGATTTATGGCAGAAAAGATCTTTATGCCCAGAGAATTTTAAAAATGAAGCACAATGAACCTAGTATTTCAAAATACTTTTAATTTATAATATCACATACTGGAACGTAAACCAGAAATGATGAATTAACAAGGAAGCTAATTGAATTATATTATATTATATTATATTATATTATATTACTATGGGACGTGAGTGGCGCTGTGGTCTA